TGATGATGAATTTCAAGAGTCAGCTGAAGACAGCRATGTTGACAGTAGATCCAGTAATGACACACATTATTCTTGTCATTATACAGAAAATGATATCACAAATGCTATTCTTCGTAGTATAGAATCTAAAATTAAAAATGGTTGGTCTCAAGAAGAGACATTGTCTGAAATGAGAAATCTTTATGAACTCTTGAAAGATRAACAGATTCCACATAAATCCTGGGATGCTATATTGAAATATTTAAAGAAGCTGGGTTACAAAGACCCTAAATACATATTTTAAAGTCTGTTGTTCATCAAATCATGTGAGTCTTCTTCAATATCAAGCAGATTGCTCAGTTTGTGGAAAGTCATGGGAAGAATAATTTAAAGTCTGTTGTTCGTCAAATCATGTGAGTCTTCTTCAATATCAAGCAGATTGCTCAGTTTGTGGAAAGTCATGGGAAGAATGTTTAAAGTATTATGTTTTAGGTATACATTTGGAAAACTATTTCTTGAATAATGAAACAATCAAAGATCACTTGCAGCATTGGGCAAATAAGGATGAATGGCTAGGAAACAAYAACCAGGRAGCAAACTATAAGGAGACTTGGCATGGTGAACRTTTCCAGGAGTTATCCTACTTCTGGGATGACACCAGTGAGACTTTTCTCCCTGTTCTCTGCCCTAATYGTGAGAGTGTTATATCTGTTGAAGACATGGCTGCATTAGTTCCACCAGGCAAYACACTCCATGATGAGCTATATCTGAGTTGCAGGGAATGTATGTTTGACTTTATCCATRAACCTAAGAAAATGAAAGGATGTGCACTTAACCAAGCATTCATTTCCCACGAGGATGGCTTCAACGCATTCGAAAAGAAAAGCCGTGGAATATTTGCCATTCACATTTCCAGTGCTTGTGTCAATAAAGAACAAAGATTAAGTGGAAAGTACAGTATATCAGAGTATACAGCTTTATTCCAACTGTGTTTTTGGGGGAAGGGATATCACATAAGCTTGATGCCTTCTTAAAGCCATTAATAGATGAGGTAAAAGACCTGTACATCAATGGGATAACTGTCAACAT